TTCTTTTGATATCTAGTAGAAATAAACGTATATGTTCTTATTTATATATCCTATAATACAAAAATGTGTTTTGAAAATGTTTCTTAGACATTATATACCTTTTTGCTTCCTCAGCGAATTACACAAATTGTCAAAAGAGCGCAGAGCAGTACCATTTCATGTAATGCAAGTGTTTTTTTTTTGTTTTTGTTTTTTCAACCAAAGAAGCTGTCGCGGAAAGCAAAGATTTGAAAGTACACGTACCTGTCAAACAATGGGGGCCTTGTGTAAAAGAGCGCCTGTCTCGTATGTGAGAGGACGCGGGTTCGACTCCCAGTCTGGCCAGATGAAGGATCATTGTTAATAATTCAACAAATTTCTCAACATTAAAGGGGTAGATCAAGAACTGGTCACCATTGTCCTTGACTTAATAGGGATGACTGGTTGGGGTCTCAAGTCAATGTGTATACCTCAGATAATGATTTGAATGTTATCAAAATGGCAGCTTCAATATGATCTTTTCTGCAGTAAATTGAAAATTGTATAACTAGTTTTGTTTGAAAAATTCATTCTTAATTAGCAAAAAATAACATGGGGAAAATTATTTATAACTGACAGGTTAGCAAGCTTAGCATACTTATTCTTTCCTTCTTTACTTCTTCCTTTCTTTCTTTCTTTCTTTACGTATTTATTTTATTTTATTTTGTATCATATATTAATTTTATTTATTTATTTATTTATTAATTTATTTATTTATTTATTTATTTATTTATTTATTTATTTATTTATTTATTTATTTATTTATTTATTTATTTATTTATTTATTTATGTATTCATTCATTCATTCATTCATTTATTCATTTATTTATTCATTTATTTATTTATTTATGTCGTTGCAGCTGAGTTTAAGTGATCCAGATTATTTCATTTTTTTCTTCTAATTTTAATATTCCGAATTAATATTCATATAAAATATGATAATAAGTACACATTATTCAAATAATGCCACATTTTCATTTGAATATTTGAATAACTTATATATAAAAAAGGGTTAACGCTAAATTACATTTCAGATATGTTGAGTCCACAATTTCAGGCACATCTTTACTTCTTACATGTCTTTTGGCAATTAGTACACTTATAGTGATTTATGATTTTTGTATGGAAGTCATAACAACACTTTGTTTACATATTGATATCTTTATGATCAATTATTTCACATTCGATGCTACATTACAAATCTTTTCAAGGCGATATGCATTTCACATGTTCTAAATTTACTATTTCTAAATTTATTATTTCAGCATTATTAAACACATTGAGATTCTTTTTTTTTTCCCTTTAAAGTGGCATAATTGGGGTGTACTGTATGGTGAGTGAACAGGTAAAAGTCAAAATAACTTACATATTGCCATAATTTCTTTCAATTTATAATTTACCTCACAAGGACGATGAATAACTCACGTGACCCCAAGAAACTTCGGTACATATTGGAATTTACCTGCAATTTTCAATCTATTAACAGAATGTGCAGTATTTTTTATATTTTAGGCAGTTTTATATTTTATCCTAGATATTTTCTGATATCAATTGTTGGTCACAATCATCATTATAATTGTCAATCTTTTGAAATATATAGTCAATTCAGCACAACTTGACAATGGAAAAATAAGCATAATGCCACTAACAAATTATGCTTTTAAACATTTTTGCCTGTTCATAAATATTATAATGTAAATGTGGAGCGCACTTCTGCTCATACTTAATTGAAACATACATGCATGTATTACATTCTTTCCGACACATCAATAGCCACACAATTAAAAGTTTATAATATGTATAACTTTGCAAAATGATTCATGACTGTATCCGTAAATTTTAATTGTGATATATGAACACGTTTACATGTATAAAAAAGAAAAGAAAAAAATATGTAAAAAATATATATTTGTTAATCGTCAAACTACAAATTTCTAACTGTGAGTAATTATTGTATATTGATGATTTCCATTGTATATGTTGCATATAGATTTTAAAATTTTATTACCTTAAATACATTATGTCCATCCGATGGTATATAGTGAGTGAACGGGTGAATATCAAAATAAGTTTTCATTTTGCCATAATTCCTTTTAATTTGATAATAATTAATTATTTAAGTTCGCATAAACAATAAATAACGCACGGATCCAAACGAAATTTCTGTACTGTAAATATCTGTTAGAATTTACCTATAACGCTAAGTTTATAAAAAGAGCGGGGCAGTCTTTTTAAATTTTAGGCAGATTTATAATTCTATTCTAAACATTTTCCAAAATCAACTTTTGGTCAAACACCATTTTGACAGTCAATCTTTTGAAATAAAAAGTCAATTCAGCTCAACTTGACAAAGAAAATATGAGCATAATCTCACTTTAACAAAGGTAGTCGCTCTGTAACATTTATTGAATCTTTAAAAAAAATCGCGTCCACCGCAGACAAAACAACTTTGTTAATTTGTTACTGAGCAAAACGGCATTAAAAGTTCCGGATGATTTATCAACGAAATCATGATGTCATTAGTCCGAAATGCATATATAATACCCATAATCCTTAGGAAAAGGACCGAAAAGATGCGATAGTTCGACACTTTGCCGAGAGCAAAAAAAAATACAAACTAGTGTTCAGTCTGTCCTTCGTCAACAGAAACACGGAACATTATCTTGTAAATCTTGAGAAAATGTTGACAATTTCTGATACACATCAGTAGTGTTCGTAACGTGTTTCAACTTATGTTTCCGCTTACATTGGCTTATCAGTTCGTTACAGTTTGTTATATCTATTTGTTATATCTATAACTAAGCACAACATGTTAGCAAAGTTTACATAGTGATTCTGTTTCAAAATATTCTAACTGATGAAATATCATGCTTTTTTATCACGAAATTCGTTTTGTGTTCATTTATATTCATGCAAATTACATTTAAGGGCCAAGTAGGACTAGCCCAATGTAAGAAAGAATTGAGACAGATGGACATTAAATAGTTAGATTCAACTGATCTATCTTACCTATAAAATGAATGAAAATAACTTATATTTTCGCGAGTTAGTTTTTTTTTCTAAAGTATTAATAAAACACTTGACTTTGAAACTTTACAGATGAAAAAAAATATCCAATTACAAATACCGGGGCTCTTAAATCAGAGTGCCTCTAAATGTGGTTGAAAAAGACATCGAAAGACCCATCAGATAAAATTTGTTTACATATAGCAAGTTATTTGATTATTTCTTAGTATTATTAAATGAGAGTTATGAAATATCTTAAGTTATTACGTTGTTCATTGAACAAACGCTGAAAGTTGATAACTTTTTAATTACAAACTTCGTTAAATATAATCAATTAACAACATAACAATGTCAACAAACTGGTGGTAAAAGGGGGCGTGTCTACTGTACTGTTAACACCTATTGCGATAATCAGCTAGTGTAGATTTCCTTTGATGAGCCGACAATCTATTAACTTATGCATTATTCATAATTTGCATATTATAAAGTAAGGGATGGGTGGTCATATTTAAGAGCGGTCGTGTGAAACTTAAGAAAGGTCGGGTTCGGTCACCAGTTACTCCAACTATGATGTTTTACGGGTGAGAATTTCAGAATTGTTGGCCCATGTGAGGATGTTTTACATTTTGCACATCAAAGAACCACTTGTTTCTTTGGGAAATGAATAATTTCAGTATCAATTGCGCTATCCTTTAAGCAATTATTTAATATAGGGATTTGAAGCTGCAAACATAGAAAATGAAAAGATCGATAACCACACTCTTTTGCGCGAACTTGACTCTTAAAATTGTTAGATTTTCCCGTCATGATTTAACAAGGCAAAGTTATCAGAGACTTACGCTACCGATATAGATAAGTTCCTAGTCCTTTTTTCAATTGTATTTTAAATCAATAATTCTAATTTTTTTTTCAATTTTCATTGCAAATTGAAAATGGTGATAATCAGTAGACAGCAAGTCTCGGACAATTATGCTTTTGCGATTTGTTACATCACAACGTCCTCTCCGATATCTCAATGATAACAAAACACAAGAATAAAGATCAACAAGGCAAAGGCAACGTTCACAGGACGCAGCCCCCGACACACCCAAGCAGGGCACCCAGAAGACACCCAACAAAAGTATTTTTGATGAAACTTTAAAAACTGAGGGCCTAGGTAATGAAGCATTACACATTGCGTGTTAAAAAAACAACAGTTGCTACTTCTGGAATTGAGTAAATTTTGTATCTTTTTGCTCGATCCCTAAACACGCTACTGGCAGTATTTTGGTATAAGTTGCCGATATGGTTTTCCAAGGGCGACTGTACAAGAAACAGTCACAAATAGGGTTGGGGAGTTCAGATGGGCAGCATTTATCTAAGCATTCACTAAGGAATTCATTCGAATAAGATTTCAGCTGAGAAATTAAACAATGTGACTATGTTACAATGTTCAGAATAATTAATTTCAAAGTTGTTATTCGTTAATTCTTAAGGTAAAACAAGTTGAGTTAAATTGACATGAAAAATGTGGGGTCTATATTTTCTTTTAAACTTATGATTCTAAAGAATATCATTTTAGAAATTATATCATATCAAAAAAAGGAACAAAGGTTTGTAAACACAGTGTGAATACACTTGTACAGAATGAGTTAATGTTATCTAATTTTCCTCACTATAACGAGGTATATAACTAAATGTATTTTATCATATGTTGTTCATTACTATAACGGGGTTAATATCTTAATGTTTTTTGTCAAATTGTTGTTATCATCTCAAGATTTCTTTCAATTAATTTTTATCTTGAAGCCATTATTTATCAGCAACTATTTTCGCAGTTTGTTAAATCTATACAACTTTCTATCTTTGAAGTAAAGAAGCCATTTTAATATGTTAACATTAATCAGGTCGGTTTTAATGTGCAGCTTCGCAGTTGATAAGCTGACTCAGATCCAGCACACGTTTTATTTCGTGCCAGTAGTATCGGACCCCTAGTGCGCATGTGCGGTAAACTGTCTCGTTCGCTATCAGAATGTGAATCATGGCGGACTATACAAGATGTGTTGGGAATTTATTTGTGTTTTTAATTGGAATTTTATATTTTACAGCAATTGGATTTGCATCAGAAGGTAGAATTAGATTAGTTAAACCTTCCTCTTATTTACTGAATTTAGTGTGTGTAACGTTCCATTATTTAGCTTGTTAAACCTCTATGTTTACTTCGATCACCGTGTGTCCCATTACATTGATACATGTATATTCGGCAAATCTTTTCAAGTCGCCGCTACTGTAATTTTGCACAGGTGTAATTTTAAGGTGTGTGACATTTTCGATTGTTAATTACAGAAAATTGTTTAAAATGAATAGTATTGGGTAAAAGTAAAAATATGTAAAGAATTTGTGATATAACGAATTTAAATGGCCAAAAAACAACATCTCAACAAAAAAAGTGTTACATATAACGAAACAATATAGAAAATAGAATGACAGTCATTCATTATGTTCTAAAAGAACCCGAAAAAACACAAGTTAAAGAGAAAACATGTCTGATAATTGAAAAACAAAATATTCTAGTAATTTATACAAACTGATAATGGGTAATTGAGAAATAAGTGCCTGTTTTAACACTCTAAAAATAAGTTAATACATAAACACAATTTCGTAGATCTATGTCAAGTTTGACATTTGATTTTCTTCAGACCGAATGTTCATGTAGCTTTTTTTCTTAGAGTGGTACAAAATTGATCGGAATTGGCAATGCTACATGGTAATTGCTAATTATATTTTGTGGCAATATGAATAATTTAATACAAATGCATGTTATTTGAAATAATAACAAAGGCAAGGCAGAATTACAGTGTGTATTGAAATTAATAGTCATGGGGTTGGATAAATTTCATGCAGTTTTTAGGCCCAGACAAAAGACTTCACAAGTGTATGAACAAAAGACACATTGAACAATTTTGATCTTATCTGTGTAAATGAAATTTAAGCCTTAAAATGTAGAGGAGAAATAAAAATGAATTACAGTTTTTTTCGCAATGATATATCAATATAAAATAATACATTCCATACTATTTTGGACCTTATATTTCAAATTGAGACTAAAATCCCTATTCTAAAGAATGCATATTTTAAAATGTATATAATATTTACAATATATTATAAACGTAAAATTAAATATTTTAAATGTGTCATATATGAATGTACTACATGTAGGTTCATTTTCAGTCAAATTGATATAAAATTGTTCTGAATGTTACAACTTTAAAAAAGCAAATAGTATTAAGTTCAGTAAACCAATCTATTTTGTAATGCAAATCATTTAAAGTTGATGATAGAACTTAAATTAAGTGCAAATCATTTTTGTTATAATGCTCGATGCTAAGTGCAAATAAATTAACTTTGGCCTTTGAAAATCTGAAGTCAGTTTTCCATCATATTTGTCAATTTTGTAAAATTTTTGCTTTTGTAAAATGTTAACAGAATTTATTTGTTAATAATGGTATTTTGAAAGTTGAAGACTGTTGTCACATAATTTTTTCCTATTCATTTATTATATATTATTTATAAATATGAATTTTTACTCTAAATGTTTTTTACAGATAGAGCCTAATTTATGTTTATACACAAATATTTTGGTGGTTCTTGGGGAAAAAATTGAAATTTTACCATAGTGACCTGGTTGATAAGAGTTTTATATACCTTTTAATACAACATTGACACCAAGATATTACGAACCAATAGGTATTAAAACACTGAAAAGCTTTTTCAGTAAAAAAATTCTTTTTTGCCAGAATTTGACATTTGAGTTCTCTCGTATGTGACAATTCTGAAAAGTTGCGAGACCACATCTGTCCACATTCTCACAAACATGAAGGCGCAAAAGCTTATTTGATAAAAGTTTGTATTTTACGCAGATGTGAATGACAGTGCCCTGGGATTAATTGTTTAGTTTCAGTCCGATAACAAGAATGGCATTGTAGGAGCTATTGGACACTGATAATACCACAAAAGGTTGTTATTATGCCTACACTTTGGACAGTTTGCTTAATATTTGCTAACACGGCATACAAGTATTTACTTACATGATTGGGCGGCCGAAACTGATGAATAGGTTACTATTAGTTGGTAAATAGAAAGTATTGAAATACATAGAAAATTCTTGTCAATAGAAATGATGGGTCGGCTCTAAAAACTTGTAAATTTGTACTGCTGGTCAAAAGAACATGACATGTTTGACTGTTTACTTTGGCCGAGCCTATTAATATATTTATTTAGTTACAATAGAATCACGAAAGTTTGTGAAAATTTTAAATGTTGCTTAAGGGCGATTTGAACTCTGAGGTCTAATTTTGTTAAAATTAATTATAATGTAACTAAAAAAGTAGGTAAATTGAAATAATATGAAAATAAATATTTAGAGGTTACTTTTGGTATATGATCAGAAATTGCCTTCAAGTTCAAGTATCTATTGTTTATAGAAAAAAAATGTACTAAATTTTTGTATTCGACTAGAGCAAAATAAAGCCATGTTTGCTTTTACCCCATAATTTTCTTGTGTCGTTAGATTCACTACACTGTCAAACTACCTGTAATTTTCAGGTGCGATCGCTCAATTAAGGGGTAGTCTAAGGGGTTAGAATTAGCGATAATTAGGGGGACGGGCAGGGTCATAATTGGTGATTACAATGTTATTTGGTTTAGAAAATGAAACTTAAGACATTATTACTCTTGCTGATCAATAGATAAAAATGATCTCGCTTAGATTTCAATTGAAAAATTTCAGATTTTTATCAGGCATGTAAATTGAATCAAAACTGATGAATACCAGAAACATGTTTAACACTTTTATCAAAATGATCTGAACGGAAGTGTAAAAAGTGAAATTAAAATATTTCCAAGTTTTAAATGATTCAACTGTTAAAGTTAATTACAGGTAGCTAGTTACATTAATATTTAGATTCATGCATTCCTGATTGATCGATAAATTCAACATACAATTGTACAATGTATATATTGATAATCAAATAGTTTTTTTTATTAAGTTGCTTTTTTCCACAAAATCTTAATTAACATGTCCATCCACAAGCCAATATAGCATTAATTTAGGAATAAAGTAGATAAACAAAAAAAACTTGATACATTTTTATTGCTGTATAGCATTACAGAAAAACCTGAATTATTTACATAATCTATCTAGAAATTCTATCATTCCGGGAACAACGCTGAAATTCGCATGCTTACAAGCTATTTCTTGCATGTTCTAGTTTGATTACGCATGAAAATCTGCAATAGGCATCAGAATCCTTTTAACGATTGGAAAAAAAATAGTTCCGTCTCTTGTCGGAGGAAAGAATATCTATAATACTTCTCGTATTGAAAACATGCACTTGTTATCATTGAGTGTTTTCTTCATTCTCCTCTATGTCTATACAATTATATGTAATGTGAAGCAAATTGTTTCGAGTTATTCTGTAAGACTGTGTTACACATAAAAAAAGCAGTCTTAAAAGACAAATATTTGTCGAAACTTGTTAATACGCAAAAAATTGAAGTTGATTTTGTTTTATGTTCAGATTTTGTTCTGTCACAACCATTTTTTTCTGTCATTTCCATTACATTTTATGTTGAAAATTTTATCCTTTTCATATACAAAAAATAGTTCCTTTTAAAGTGACTAATTAATTAGCAATTTGCAGACCAATACGATATTTCTCTGTACTACATATCTCTAGTAAATAGAATACCAATAGTTGGAATTTCAGTAGAGGGATTAATATGTCAATTTTGTGTGTTAATTTAAGCAGATTATCTAATGAACTTCTTTTTGTGGTATTAAGGAAGGATTTTATATGACTAAATTTCAGTGACTTTTTTTTTAAGTCAAGAATTTCCTAAATGAATTGATTTTTTAGAATTAGAGGGAATGGATTTCCAATGGGCTGTTTTTATTTTCAAGAAACAAATTTAAATATAATAAGTAATTTTTAGTAAACTGTGTTACTGTGAATACATATTAAATTGAGGTTTAACTTCATTGCATGTTAATATTTAACTTTGGAAAGATAGGAAGAAAAAACAAGATCATTATCACCACTTTTGTATGCGGAACTTTATTTTTCCCCTGTTTCGGTTCTATTATAAACTTCATTAAGATTTTCTTTATTCATTTATAAATCAAAATTAATTTACCCAAATTGTGGAAGAGTTTCCTGAATGTCATGCAAATTCTCAAATTTAGAAATTTTGTTTTGGATTAAGGAGAGATTGAAATGCCTGAATTAATTGTTTGTATGTACATGCCTTGCAAGCCAAAAAATCAATCATTTTGTAATTGGATGGCAGGTAAATGGTTTAGCAGAGTAAAAGAATCCCTGGAGGATAACACAGAGTGATTAATCATAAGCTTTGGCACATCAAGGGGGCCAGACTGACCTATGACTTGGCTAAAATGTCAAGTGGATGCCACCCTCGGTCATTTAATTATGTAATCTGGAACCAGTTGAAGCTTGGAAACCCCTTTACTCTCCAGCTGTGTGACGACAGAATCCTATTATCACAATTAATTGGAAAGTTTTGATCACCATAGGGGATTTGATAGTGCTGATAGATACATACACCATATCTAATTAAACATTTTTGTAGATGAGGGTAGAGAAATTTCAAATATCTATATGATTATGATACCATATTAATGCATCATGTTGAAATGTTTGATATATATTATATATAATTATATTTAAACGTATACCAAGTATTTTAAAAATAAACCCAGAGGAAATGATTTCCACTTTTTGAAAATTTGATGATCAAAGAGTGTTCCAAATTTCATTTATTAATTGATTTTTCAATTATAAAATGTTCTGTAAATGTTTTTGTGTTGCACAATAAAAGTGATTTAGAAGTTGTTTGTAGTATAATGTCAGCTATCTGCTGCTTTCGTCATAGTCAATTCCGGTGAGATAAATAAATTCTTTCATGAAACTGAATACCTCTGTACAAGCATTTTCTAAAATCGGTTTCCATTTTTTAAAAAAGAGCGAAAAATGTTACAAGAGAATCATTTTATTGTCTTTATTAATGATTTTAGATAAATTTCTGTTCTCCCTGTTGTCTGCAAGTCATG